AAAAACGCGTCAAAGTACACTACTTAACAGGTGGTATCATGTAGAACGTGACTCCTTCAACTTTTAGAATCGCGATATCTCAGGAATGGTGATTCTTAGAAAAAAAAGTATAAGGACCATTTTTGTAGATAATTTTAAGATCTATAATTTTTGTCAGTGCTACTTTTTTGATGAAACATACCGTTTTCGAAAAAAATCCAAATAACCTCAAATTTTGACCTTTGACCCCGAATAACATTTTTAGCACACATGGAATTAATGGGGACTTTTGACACTTTATTTCTAATGGTGTACCCAAGGTCTCCACCAAAATTTTGCTCTGTCGGAATTTTCGTTATTTGAAATGTCTATTTTGACCGGGCTATTACTGTCTATTTTTGCCTGTATTAATTTGATGCGGAGCGACATTTGTCTGAGTTGTGAAAACATGTGCCATGCGCCCGGATACTATGTGAATTGTGGGTAATTGTAACTAACGCTTTGTGCATACATTTACACAATTGTTATAAGAGTAAATCCGTCACTTTTTCGTCGTTTTTTAAGTTTGGTGGAAAATTATGTAGGTAATGGCGCGGAAGAACGTATTTTGTAAAAAAATAATTTTGTGTATTCTCTAGATGGAAATAGCGATGTTTCGTTTTTCGGCGATATTTCTTAAATATGCGATTACGGAGGGCCAGAAAGGCTAACTAGTGTTCAAGACATTAAAATACATAAGTCTAAGGCTTTTTCCAGTCCAAATAAATTTTTTCGAAATATACTGAAGCCCATTAGTCGTTTTTTCCACGGCTTTCGGGATTTTCTTAAATCCTGAGAAAGCTGAAGTAAAGCTAGGGACGGGACGGATTCGGATTCAACGCGTCAACATACATATATATATAGCCAGGCCAGCCTACATATTTTTTAATTTTGCCCTTATATAATTTTTTAAGTCTCTAATATGATACGCCCATGGAATAGTTTTCCCCGCACGCCTTAAACCTGTCGTCGCAAGGGTCCACACGTTGAGAATGAGTCACTGCCTACTATTTCGGACCTGGGGTATAAGAAAACCGTCAGCAAAATAACTGTTCCCTTTTCCAACGTAATCGTACACACCTCAACCCACACCTGATTCGCTGATTCGATCACACCTCGCCGTCACCCTATCATAGAACAAACAAACCCCATTCAATAAATAATTAAAGTTTAACGGACCATATGCCTATGCCTAATTTCTTTACGATATACGTATTACAGCGCTCTTATCTCGGCTTGTGGTTAAATATTCATTATTCCATCGGTTTATCACCGCGTTCTACGTTCAAGCGTACTATCTAGACTCCAACGTGCGTCGTCGGTCAACATGCTGTGAAACTGCGGTGATATATCGTTATTTGTGAGACCGAAATATGGAGAGCGGCCAGGGCAGTTTCAGGAAAATAGTCAAGGTTCGGTGCAAGAAGAACGACAGCAACGGCGAGGTGGTAAGCGGGCCCAGAAGGGACAGTGTCAGCAGTGCGGTGAGTGAGGAGGAGGTCGACCCTTACACGAAGAGGAGAAGGGAATCTTTGAAAAACAACGTGTTTGATATCTGTTTGAAGGTTAGATCTCTATCTCGTTTGTTTTGTCGAAAGCGATTTGAAGTGCAAACACAGGATAAGCTTTGCGCTGATGAGGTAATGAAAGTACGGGATGTGCCCAAAATGCCTAGTCGAACTTTAAAAGATACATAGAACATTTAATGTTGATATTCTGGTCGATTTAGGAAAAATAATACAGTCCGTTCAATATTTGTTTAAATAGAATTCCAAGAAAAGAATAAGCCAATAAAGTTCTGTTATCAGAACTACTGTAACAATTTACCGAGACGTGCCTTGAAATTTTCCGCGTTATTTTCAGAATATTAAGGTAAGTATATAAAGGGCGCTTCTTAAGTAGATGTCAAAAATCCAGGGGTGCATTCTGTGGCCAAAAATAAGGATTTCTGTTATATAAATGTGGTCGATGATACCCACACCTCTGCCACTGGTTTCTAAAGCTGGTAATTTTTTGTTTCATACTAAATATGCACAACTTATTTTAAACGGTTAAGAAATTGAAAATTAAATAGATTTTTTACATTTTTGACACGCTGTAGCTGCGCAATGACTCTCCTAAGACCGTATATAACAAAAAATCCTTATTTTTAGCCACAGAATACGCCCTTGAATTTTTGACCTCTCCTTAAGAACACCCTGTATATAAAGTAGATTTTTTTTTGGATTGGTTTTATTTCTTTTACAGTACGGTATAGTGCAAATCATAATACAATTATAAACACGCTCGTGCAAAAGAGGGATAAAGAAAAAACAAAAAAACATGTATTTAAGTAACCTACTAGAGCCCCACTATTGGTCAAACGGCATTTTTTTTATGTCAAAATCACATATCTCGAAGAAAAATTAACAAATCGTTTTACATTTTTTTTTTAAATTAAAGCTTATTTGATGCAGATTTAGATATAATTGTTGCGAATGTTATCATCCCCTATTTTGGGGGTGGAAATGAAGGTTGAATAGGTGAAAAAAGTGAAAATCGATTTTCTTCGTTCAAAAATCTTGTATCTTCGACAAATACAGTGAAATTAAGACACATTTTGGTGTAATCAATGCTCAATTGAAACAAGTTAAGGAAAAATTAATGAAAATATTTTCATCCCTATTTTAGGGGTGAGGGGTGAGGGTGTGGAAAAATGAAAATTAAAGAAAATATGCATAACAGGTTTTTGTTTGTGTTGCTGAACACAAATAAAAGCATCACTAAAACAAAAAACTCCTTTTCAGTAGCTGTTTTATCATCCCCTGATTTAAGAGAAAAACTGATTAGGGGAAGATTTTTGAAGTAAGAAAATCGAATTTCATTTTTTTCACCTATTCACCCTTCATTTGCACCCTCAAAATAGGGGGATATGGTGAACGCCATGCCGCCAATATCTTTCTACCTCTGGCGTCGAATGCGGTTAATTCCAAGAAAGTGACGCAGGTGTCTTCTTAGGATTCCAACTCAACAAATATCGACAGACTGTATATATCTTCAAAACACATATTCATAGACAACTTCCCTCATCAATCAAGTAGAAGTATGGCGTATTAAGAAAATTTATTGGCAGAAAAGTGATAAATATGCCAAAGTGCATATTTCTTAGATATAGCTAGAAGCAAATTACCTTTTATCATAAAATATCACCTTAGATTTAGATTTAGATCATGGAACCTCTTTATTTTTATTGAAATTTACTTTATCCGACGAACGACACACTAAGATTTGATAAATTCGTGAGACAAAATTTAAGTTTTAGTTTGACTGTTCCAGAAAAGAACATTGTATTAAAAAACCTGAAAATTTTTCTTCAACCGTTATATTATATCCCAACGTAATCGATAATTCTTACAATCATAATGACTCTTTTGTACTGATGGAGTCTTTGAAATTAAAATCGTACCTCGTATCAAAAAGTTGTTTTAGATTTGGACTCTGATGTTAATATTATTAAAAGTGACGACTCGAAAATGTTTCAATGAATGAAATGAAATGAAATATTTCAATAATGAATTAATTAATTTCTATTTAGCTAGGTAATGAGAGGAAGTTTTGAAAACAGAAAATAATAGTTATATTAAATATGTCTATCATTAAAAAAGTAAATTTAATTTTAAATATAATTACACCAATACACAATTAGGAAAGTAAAAATATTTAATACATTCTTTTAAACTGTTTTTAAAAATAAAGACTAATAGATATATAATAAATATACTACTCATTTAAATCAGTTTCACTATCAATATCACTACTTATGTTAATAATAAATTATAAATCATAAAATAATATATTCGCAATATGAATGTATGAATATGTTCATTAGTTTTAACATGTGAAACACAATTTTTCCGGCTACTGACAAGCACTTTGATTTCACTAAGAAAAAATCTAGTAGAGCAGCTTTAGAATGACGATATATTTTTATTTCTGACGTTAGATTTTAGTTGATATCAGATCTAAGGAAGGGATTAAGTATACAGTAATTTGGAGGAAGCCTGCTTAGCACTACGTGTCCGTTACTTTTAACAAAAGTGTCCCAGAAGTACTTTTTTCCTTGTTGTTCTTTCGGTGATACAGCAATTTTTTAGAAAAGATGTCTTTTTCAATATTCATTTCCACACTAATTGAAATTACTAGTTTTGCAAGAATCTCATCTATTTGCTAACCCATCCGAAACAATTTGTTGTAAATTGGTTCCTAAAAAGAGATGTATACCTGGGTAAGAGAATTTTCTGAATGAATTTTATGATGAGCAATAACTGAACACGGACTGACGTAGATATTCGTTCTCTTAAATCTATGAATGTACTTTACCAACAGAGTTGTTATAGTCTTTCCGAAGTCAGTTGAACATGTCAAAAAACGCCTGGCAATAAAATTTAATGACTTTCATAGGCGTCCCTAAAAAAGTTTTCTGATGAAGGTAAAAAATTATAATAATTTGTATATAATCTGCAGATATATGTATATTTTTTGACATAGTCCCCTAGATTTGACCTAACGCTGGCGGGTTTTGTCAATCAATGCCAGTCTCTTAAGCAGGGTGGTTCATAAATTAAATAAAAAACAAATAGCCTTTATGAAACCGCTCATCCGTTATCTCTGTTTAGAATTACCTCGAGTCTGATTAATCGATTCAATTTGTTCAGTCGTTCCAAAGGATATCCATTGCTTTATTACGAATTTATCAGTATTAAACGTCACAACTATATTTAAATCAAAATACCCTCTCGTTCCGTTGTATTAAAATGTACTCCGTGGATTGTTATACAGAACGTCACATTTGTGTAGAAAGAACAGGTTATTTATTTATGAGATATTAATCAGTGATAAACAATCCCTCACAGATCAAAGAACTTATTTTGTGTTTGCTCTGATGTATTTTTTTATTGGCTGAAGAGATGCAAGATCTTTCAAGTAATTTACTAAAATGATAGGTTATGCTGCTTGGAGATTCTGGAGTAGGCAAGACTTGCATCTTGATGAGGTTCAGAGACGGCCTGTTTCTTTCTGGCAACTTCATATCGACTGTTGGCGTTGACTTCAGGGTGAGATTTTAGCCAGATTTTGATTGATTTTCCCGCACGCTACGATTTATCTAAAGGCTAGTTTCTACAACAATTAAATTGTCACCAAAACTTTAAAAATAATTTGGCGTCTTCAGAAAAAAAAATATTTTTCATTTTACGGGGAAGAGCCATTCTTGTTTACAAATGTTGAAAAATGAGAAATTTTCTTTTCAATAAGGGCTATTGAAACCCTTTAAAGCTTTAGAGCCATACGCTGAATCCGAATCCGGTGTCCGTTTAACAAAGTTAGCTCTTCAAGGTTATTTGAAGGTCAACTCTTGTTTTTTATGCTAATACAATTTTTTTTCTTGGATTCTGAAAGACTGAGAAATTTTACATTCGGATATGTAGTTGATTTATTTTTTAATGTCGTATTCAAGGTTATTTGAAGGTCAACTCTTGTTTTTTTTTTGGAAATACGATTTCTGACCCCGAATTCTGCAAGAGCGAGAAATTTTACGTTCGAATGCGTAGTCCAGTTATTTTTTTATTTTCAAGATCATTTGAAGGTCAAATACCCCTCTCGAACTTCTCGGCAGGATACAGTATACAAAAGTTGATTTTCACATTGGGGACCACCATTTGGTGACCTTGGATTTGTCCTTGAAGGCCATGTTCAAGGACTTTTCAAGGTCAACTCCTTTTCTTCAAGGTAATGCCTCTGAATATTGTAGGAGGTCTATTATTGACAATTGTATGCCCTCAAAATCAAGAGTACCAGATCTCATGGATACAAAAATCGTTATCTCACCGTTTTAAAGCGGATTCTGGTGTTCTTTTTTTTATCAAATTAACCTTCAAAGTCAAATCTAAGATCACCAAGTGATGGTCCCCGATGACCCAAACAACTTTTATAGGAGATGTTTTCCTGATATCTTGCTATTATGACGAGATGGCAACCTGAGAAATTCGAGAGTGAGGCATGACCTTCAGATGATATTGAAAATTAAAAAATAACTCAACCGCATCTTCGAATGTAAAATTTCTCGCTCTTTCAGAATCCGTGATCAGAAATTGTATTACCATAAAAAAAACTAGAGTTGACCTTCAAATAACGTTGAATATGACCTTAAAAAATAAATAAATTACGTATCTTTGCGTGAAATTGCTCTCATTCACAATTCGGATACAAAAATTGTATTACCGTCAAAAAACAAGAATTGACTTTCAAATAACCTTGAACAAGAGTCAACTTCGTTAAACAGTCACCAGATTCGGATTCAGCGATCTCAAAGAGGTATGGGTATTGTGGTCTAGTCTATCACACATTGATTTTGCGTGGAGCTGTGTCCTAACCTAACAAAATTACCAAAATAAAATATCTTAACTGACAAGAAACTTTATTATAATAAAATATTAATTAAAACAAACATTTGAGGGCATATAGTTATAAATTATATTTTGAGAATTGTAAACTGTTTTTATGGGTAGAACCACAGTATTTGCACTTATTTTAGGAATACCTTGAATAATTTTACCAAGTAATTATTAATATAATAAATGCATTTTAGTAAATTGTTCAAATATTTTCTATTCGTCGACAAAAAGAAATTTTGGAAAAGCACAAAGTTATTTTCCGTGTACTGAATATTAAAATATATCATCTTTGCCTGTCAGTCATATTTTTTGTCATTAAGGTTACGGTTATGTCCACTATATTAAAAGCACAGCAGCAAGCTGTAAACAAGCAAATTCAGATGAGCCGAAATCATTAGACACCCATAACAGACCGAGTATAGTTTTAAGTCTGCAAAGACACTCCACAATAGCCCTTCTTAGAGTGACGTCACATACGCCAAATAGTAGGCAATATTTTTACTAGATCGATTTTCGACCTTATGTACTTTGGACATAAGTGCTAAAAAAATGGCTTGTCATGACCTTAAATATTGCGATATTCTAGCAAATATTTAAGAAGTTTCTAACCCTAAATGACAAAATAATAGAATTATAGAGTTTATATATTTAAATTTATAGAACAATATTGACTTTTATAATAATTAAGAAATTAAAATTATAACAACGTTACTGAGCATGCGCATTAAAGATAATTTCAGGGAGAATTCCCGGGAAATCTGGCCTTACTCGAGACGAGAAAAAAGTGTCGAGAAATCGAGAAATTTAAAAATCACGCGCGTCTTAAGTTCTTGACTGGAGTTCATTTCGTACATTCGTTCAATTCGTTTCTCGACAAATAACTGAGCGGTTAAAGCGGTTTCTCGACTAGCTCATGATTTATTTATTTTAAGTTTGTAAGGCTTTAGTTTACTTTGATGATTCTTATTTTTTTTACCTACGACCACTACTGTAAATACTTAAAAACACACCGTCTGCAATCAATGTAAGATTCCTATTACGCACGGTAAAAAAATCGCACAATTTTCCTAGCAACCGCCTAGCAACGGTCAATACAATAATATTTGTATTGAACGTTGCTAGGCGGTTGCTAGGAAAACTGTACGATTTTTTTACCAAGCTGTGCGATTTTTTTACCGTACGTAAAATAGGAATCTTACATTGATCGCAGACGGTGTATTTTTAAGTATTTACAGTAGTGGTCGTAGGTAAAGTATAGTACGTAATACGTGGTGTAATGCAATTACGCACTCATAGAATTACGCTCTCGCCGCTACGCGTCGTCGTGCGTAACTTTTCCATACGTGCGTAAAATGCTTTTTACAACACTTATTACGTAATATACTATAATATACTTACCTAGTTATAAGTCTGTGTAGAAATTTTATTATAAGCAGATACCTAATGTTGATGTTGATTCTGAAAATATTTAGTTCCTGTTCTTTTAGTTGATTATTTTATTTTTGTTTTGTTAATTAAAAGATTGTGATTATAAGTGATAAATTAATAGGAATAACACTTTTGTATCTTTAAATTAAAGCTTATTTTTTTAAGATTTCTTCGGTTAAATTCCTTATTTACTATTTGTTTAATTAAAAGACTGCATGATTAATGATTATTAATAATTATTGGAAGAAAGCTACCATTCAAAAACATTGAAATAAACATAAGTATATTGAAAGTGTTTAATAAAAAAACAAGTTAAAGGTTTTTAAGAAGAAACTCAAAATTTAATTTAGTTTTGTTAGTAGAAGTACATAGAAACATAAGTAATTAATAAAAATACTGAATAAATAATAAATGTTAATGATGATTGTTAGGTATAATAGCATGTTTATATTTCGCATTGCCAAAATTATGACTTTTTAAGTTTTAGAAATTTGTCGAGAATTCGAGAATTCCTAGTCGAGAATTCTGGAGTCCCGAGAAAAAAAGTAGGCCGAGAAATCAGAAACCTTAGCGATAACATATCAACAAGTTCTGACCTGCGTATGAGGCTATTCTTTTCGAGCATGAGCATTAGGAATAACACTGCTAATGTTACATTTTTACTTTATTTAAATTTAGGAAAATAGGAATATTCTTTTATATCGTTTTAAGCACATTATTTTTACGAAACACGTGTTGGTTATTCTTAAATACTCCTAAATCCTTGTAAAAATAAATTAATTTGAAGTTGTTCATTTTTACAAGGGACAGATTCGGCCTGTATAATTTCAACCATCCATGACAATTTGTTGCGGGTTGCCTAGATATGTGACGTCACACTAAAAGAGTCTATTCGCCAGCTGTGAGTTGTGTGTAATAAACAGAGATGTATTTAAAAATTTGACAGTTTGGAATTTGTGTGCGATAAAATTCAGAATACCTGCACAAGTGAAAAATGCCGACAACAGAGTGAAATTGCTGGTTCACGTATGCTGTTGTGCTAAGCTAAAACTTTTCTAGAGTACATAGTATATTTCTCCGATGAAGGGTTGTTAACTGGATGTTGTGCACCACTGCTTCTTAAGCCAATTTCATTTCCTGTGTTTTTCTTTAGACAAAAGTAGTTTCAGTCGACAACACCAAAGTGAAACTGCAAATCTGGGACACCGCGGGACAGGAGAGGTTCAGGAGTGTGACACACGCGTATTATAGGGACGCTCACGGTAAGTCAATTTGTTTCATGCAGTAGATAGGCTATTTGTGCCCAAAGAGGCATTAGCAGTGGCGTATATCATGCGGGGTTCTTCGATAACTCGATTATTGCACATTTTAGAGTCAAACTCGATTTATGAGAGCTGATGCTAGTGGATGCAATAATTTGGATTATATTTTTTAAAAAGTATTCAGTTATGGCAATTTTTTATTATTAAATACTCCGAACTATACGGATGTTCCACGAGGAAATGCACAAATCCTAAAACAACAATTCTCTGTTTAAATAAAACTTACTGCGGAAAAGTACTTTTTCCAAGATTGTTTAATATTTCACGAACACGTAATTCACAATTACAACGTTTTATACAGTCTCGTAGATATTCTACGCCTATTACTTTTTTTATTTCCACGTTTTATTCTTTATTAAAACAAATATTAACAAGTCAAATTACTCTTTTCAAATTTTCATATATTGGGATTTTGGAATAATTTGAATAAATAGTAGGTAATGATTTATGATGATCTTTTTTCTTTCTTTACAATGCGCACTAGAATTCTTCAAAAGAATGATAATAATTATTAATAAGTTAATAATTGCGATGTAATTTATCGTTATTTATTAATTCTATCTAATTGACAACTTTCCAGCACAGTTTTAACAGAAGTTCACTTTCAGAGGGACGTATATACATACCATAGGTAAAAGGAGAAAAGTTAAAAACTGATTTAAGTTAAGATGTAGTCGTATAAAAAGTTAAAATGAACTTCTTTGCCGTTACTTTAGATTTAATTTTTCGCGTCTTATGGAATTCGTAATTTTATATAAATTTAGTTAACTTACAAGAAAGTGGTTGTTCGATTATTTTTTGTTTATAAAAATCCCCCCCCCCCCTTCCTATAAATAAAACTCCATACACACATACAAGAAGTTATCTTCGAAATTGTACTCTATTTAAACTCCTGAATTTATTTACTGGGACATTGGTCAATAAAATAACTCGGTACATAATTTCCAATTTGTTTTACTTTACGATCGTTTCGGGCTTAACCCATCTTCAGAAAAAAACATCATTGGAGATAAGTTAAAAGCAGAATAAATACACCTATCTTTATTATTTACGTACAACAGTCTTCAATTTAAACATATGACAAATAGAANTTTAATAAAAAAACAAGTTAAAGGTTTTTAAGAAGAAACTCAAAATTTAATTTAGTTTTGTTAGTAGAAGTACATAGAAACATAAGTAATTAATAAAAATACTGAATAAATAATAAATGTTAATGATGATTGTTAGGTATAATAGCATGTTTATATTTCGCATTGCCAAAATTATGACTTTTTAAGTTTTAGAAATTTGTCGAGAATTCGAGAATTCCTAGTCGAGAATTCTGGAGTCCCGAGAAAAAAAGTAGGCCGAGAAATCAGAAACCTTAGCGATAACATATCAACAAGTTCTGACCTGCGTATGAGGCTATTCTTTTCGAGCATGAGCATTAGGAATAACACTGCTAATGTTACATTTTTACTTTATTTAAATTTAGGAAAATAGGAATATTCTTTTATATCGTTTTAAGCACATTATTTTTACGAAACACGTGTTGGTTATTCTTAAATACTCCTAAATCCTTGTAAAAATAAATTAATTTGAAGTTGTTCATTTTTACAAGGGACAGATTCGGCCTGTATAATTTCAACCATCCATGACAATTTGTTGCGGGTTGCCTAGATATGTGACGTCACACTAAAAGAGTCTATTCGCCAGCTGTGAGTTGTGTGTAATAAACAGAGATGTATTTAAAAATTTGACAGTTTGGAATTTGTGTGCGATAAAATTCAGAATACCTGCACAAGTGAAAAATGCCGACAACAGAGTGAAATTGCTGGTTCACGTATGCTGTTGTGCTAAGCTAAAACTTTTCTAGAGTACATAGTATATTTCTCCGATGAAGGGTTGTTAACTGGATGTTGTGCACCACTGCTTCTTAAGCCAATTTCATTTCCTGTGTTTTTCTTTAGACAAAAGTAGTTTCAGTCGACAACACCAAAGTGAAACTGCAAATCTGGGACACCGCGGGACAGGAGAGGTTCAGGAGTGTGACACACGCGTATTATAGGGACGCTCACGGTAAGTCAATTTGTTTCATGCAGTAGATAGGCTATTTGTGCCCAAAGAGGCATTAGCAGTGGCGTATATCATGCGGGGTTCTTCGATAACTCGATTATTGCACATTTTAGAGTCAAACTCGATTTATGAGAGCTGATGCTAGTGGATGCAATAATTTGGATTATATTTTTTAAAAAGTATTCAGTTATGGCAATTTTTTATTATTAAATACTCCGAACTATACGGATGTTCCACGAGGAAATGCACAAATCCTAAAACAACAATTCTCTGTTTAAATAAAACTTACTGCGGAAAAGTACTTTTTCCAAGATTGTTTAATATTTCACGAACACGTAATTCACAATTACAACGTTTTATACAGTCTCGTAGATATTCTACGCCTATTACTTTTTTTATTTCCACGTTTTATTCTTTATTAAAACAAATATTAACAAGTCAAATTACTCTTTTCAAATTTTCATATATTGGGATTTTGGAATAATTTGAATAAATAGTAGGTAATGATTTATGATGATCTTTTTTCTTTCTTTACAATGCGCACTAGAATTCTTCAAAAGAATGATAATAATTATTAATAAGTTAATAATTGCGATGTAATTTATCGTTATTTATTAATTCTATCTAATTGACAACTTTCCAGCACAGTTTTAACAGAAGTTCACTTTCAGAGGGACGTATATACATACCATAGGTAAAAGGAGAAAAGTTAAAAACTGATTTAAGTTAAGATGTAGTCGTATAAAAAGTTAAAATGAACTTCTTTGCCGTTACTTTAGATTTAATTTTTCGCGTCTTATGGAATTCGTAATTTTATATAAATTTAGTTAACTTACAAGAAAGTGGTTGTTCGATTATTTTTTGTTTATAAAAATCCCCCCCCCCCCTTCCTATAAATAAAACTCCATACACACATACAAGAAGTTATCTTCGAAATTGTACTCTATTTAAACTCCTGAATTTATTTACTGGGACATTGGTCAATAAAATAACTCGGTACATAATTTCCAATTTGTTTTACTTGACGATCGTTTCGGGCTTAACCCATCTTCAGAAAAAAACATCATTGGAGATAAGTTAAAAGCAGAGTAAATACACCTATCTTTATTATTTACGTACAACAGTCTTCAATTTAAACATATGACAAATAGAAAGTACAACAAAAACATTAACAACCATTTAACATAAAATAAGAGTGCCTAGAGCTCCTGTGGGGAAACAGCATGGCAGAGAAACCCACGATCGTTGCTCTAACTACCCAAATATAAATACAAAACAACCGATAACAAAAGGCATACATTAAGAACCTTTGCTAATGATAATTAACACCCGACTTGTTTAATTTCTGACTAAATGTCATCTCACTCAAATTAGACATACACACTTCCAAGTAAAACTGAAGAGGTTATAATAATAATAACAACAACAACAACAATAACAATAATAATAAGTAAGGTATTGGAGTCCCATACGGGAGGCAATCCAGCTATGAGTTGAGATTTCGGAAGAACAACAACAATAATAACAATAATAATAACAATAATAATAATAAGTAAGGTACTGGAGTCCCATACGGGAGGCAATCCAACTATGAGTTGAGATTTCGGAAGATCTGTTTTAGCAATTCTTTTTTTTTCTATTTAATTATTCTTTTTACAGATTCATTCCTCACGGGCGAAAATGTTAGTAAATTCAACAAAGCTCTTATATGCGTATGACATAAAGTGAGCACAAGAAATGCTTTCTTATTTGTTTTTCGAACAATGTAATCATGACAAAACAAGTTAAATGTGAAACAAAGGAGTTGTTATTGCAATATCCAGGCAGTCACGACATTATATACATATTTTAACATGTAATAAATGATGAGCAATCTTTAATAATAATTGTAACAATTTTACGTTAGAAAAATATACGCCCCTGCGCATAAGACAATGAAGGCTAAACGTATACAGAATTATTATCATGAAACGTCTATAATCATCACAATCATAAAATAACATAGAACAATTAACAACAAAGTACTTAGAGAACCTGCTGACTAAAACCGGTTAAACACTTTTTATTTTTCACTACTTATATATTTTCACCGTGCACCGATCGTCTTACTTTTCACTCTCCACATTCTGCGCTGTTCTCACCTCAACTATCTAGGCTTCCTTCCAGAATTCCCCACCTAAGCGCTTGTTTTTGTGCTTCCTTCTACCAACTGCCAATATTACGTTTTCATTATTGTGCAACACCCATGTAACAGGTGACGTCGAAGTTGATACGATAAGTATGGTTTTGCACAAATTTGATGAACAAAAGAATAGAAATAAACCACGAGACACTTAAATTTTAAAAAATTAAAAAATTATAAATATTTGATACTCACAGTGCGGTAGTAGATTTTGCTCGAGAAATTTTGTAAGTGCGTCGTGATTTATTTCACGTCACAGTGAGACGCCCTGTATAAATAGATACTTAGTACCTATAGGTATTTGTATAATATTCACAAAAAAAAATCAACAATGGAAAACACAACTGTAATTGTATAGAGTTTCTAGAGGATACAAACGTATTTATTACATACCTCAATTACACAGGGTAGTTGAGTTGCTTTCAAAATAAGTCATTTTTCAAATAAATAAAAGATTAAAAAAAAACATATCAAAGCAGAGACTGATAGACTATTAATCTTAGATCCGCACCGCATAATTACAGGGACATAATTATTTTCTTAGGCGTCTTCACACTACTTGCTCTCACACTGGGGAACAACACAATATTTGCAATTTTTTCTGTTCTGTGTCTTCCATATTGCTAACAAAATTTAGTATCTTAACGTACTCAATCGAAACATAACAGGCAACTAAACCCGACTACCCGACTGAGCAAGCATGCGGAATCCGTTTCCCATGCGGTGACGTCACACCCGCCGTTTCAGCGGATACTCAGCAGTCAGCCAGTTTATCATTTTTTTTGGAAGACTTGTAGGCGATATACAATTCTAATTTTTTGCAGAGAACCTTAAAATGGCAATATATTTCCGTTAAGCAAATAAAAAAAAATTGCCGATTGAGCTCATTGACTGACGACCACATTCAAATCGTAAAAACCGTTCGTAACATTGTACAACCCAGAGCATCATCTCCATAAGCTTGTTTTAAAAGTTGAAACGTTTCCATTCCCAGTTTCACGCAAAATTTCACGTTGTATCCTTGCTCCAGGAAATCGCACATTTCAAAAATCATCACAAACACGTTGCACTCGAATAACAATATCACGAAAACTGAATGAGATATCAACAATCCAAGAATATGTAGTTACAGATGAGGTTATGCGCAACGCAATGCTGCCAACCATGCATCACTAAATATCTCCATGAGAGCGTAATTCAAAAAGTTCGGAGAAGACCTCATTAAAGGAAATGTCAATAATGGAAAAATCATATTAAATGTTTATACTAAATTCACTTATGTAGTCGTTTTCCAGCTGAATTGACATACAAATATTTTCATTTTATTGTCATACTTTTTTTTATCATTTTCAGCTCTTTTGTTGCTGTATGACGTGACGAATAAGACGAGCTTCGACAATATTCGGGCATGGCTTGGTGAGATACGGGAGTACGCGCAGGATGACGTGGTCATCATGTTACTGGGTGAGTATTTTTTTTTGAAATTCCAAATATAAAAAATGTATTGTAGAAGTAAGTCTAGTTTGTTTCCTGAGAATCACTTGTTTGTTGTAAGAGTTGATTATTTACGTTTTTATAATAAAATTATTGTTAGCAAAACACTCTTGTATCAGTTAAAGGGAAATTATGGATCGTTAATTACTCATTAGTACTTATAGGGTGTTTTTCTAAATACTCTGTAGATGTTATAAATTAAGTTTAAGTTTATTATTTCGTATAGAACATCTGTTGTACGTTTGCATTTATCAAAGGATTTATGAATACAAATTGTTTCTTTGTACTAAACGAAAATTATGAAAAACGCGAAAAATCGGATTTTCTGAAACTCATTTAAATCTTCTTGAATTTTACTTATTAGGCAGATGGTAATTTAATAAATTCTGGGGTACCAATTAAAAGTAACTTTGTAATAGTAACGCTGCTTGCAACAGCGTTTATGAATATAAAGATCAGAAGAGGGCCTAAGCCTACCACAAGGCTTAAATTTGGGCCAGCGTTATTACTGCAAATTTACTTTTCGCTTATGATCTTAAAGTTTTCGAGTAAATGACGATTGAATGTTAGAAAACCCAAATCAATTAAAATAAAGCAAAAACATCAAATTTAGTTTTTCCAAATGCCTGAAGTTTTTTATGGATCACGTAGGTGTAAATCTTTACAAAGTGTCACTGTCATACCGACTTTCTAAGTATTGTAAACGATATAAAACTTATTGTTGAATTTAAAGTATTATGGCACATTTAACTGTCACATAAAGAATTGAAATTTTAATTCTTATCGGATGCGGGGATAAGACTACAACGCAGCAGGGAGTTTGCGATTTATTTAATGAAAAACATCCAGAACGCCGTATCAGCCAATCAACAGTCAGTAAGATAGAATCTAAATTTAGAGAAACTGGTAATGTTGTAGATATTCCAAAACCTGGATGTCCAAGCGTTAGTGAAGATCACAAACAGAACATTTTGATAAGCATGGTAGATAATCTTCATAATACTTCACTATTGGTTGCATTAAACAATGAAATTAGTCAGACCACAGCGCTACGTATCCTGAGGCAGGAAAAATGTCATCCCTACGAAATTCAACTTGTGCGGGCACTCAATGAAGACGATCCCGACCGCCGCTTACAGTTTTGTGAAATTATGATGGATTTATGTCAAGTAAATAAAGATTTACACCGGCAAATACTTTTTTCAGACGAGGCCACGTTTTGTCTCAATGGTACAGTGAACCGTCAAATTTGCAGGTATTGGAGTCGGGAAAATCCTTATTGGATGACAGAGATACATACCCAACACCCACAGAAATTAAATGCGTGAGCTGGAATAGTTGACAAACAGAATAGTAGGGCCTTTATTTTTTGAAGGAACCCTTACAGGAGAAAGATGTTTAGAGTTTTGTTCCAGCGCTTGCAATAATTTTTCCTAACGATAATGACCCTGATATTCCTAATGACACCATATGGTTTCAGCAAGACGGTGCACCTCCGCACTATGCGCGCCCTGTTCGAGATTTTCTGGATAATTGTTTTCCTAGGAGGTGTTTCGGCAGACGAGGACCGATGGAATGGCCCGCGAGATCCCCAGATCTTACACCCCTGGACTATTTATTATGGGGCTACTTAGAGTTCAAAGTGAACGTTAATAGACCACATAATTTAGAAGAACTCCAAAATTGTATTATAGATGAAATACACAGTTACCCCAGAAATAATTCATAATGTGCGAGAAGAATTTCTACACATGCGTATTGTCAAGAAGTCGGTGGGTGGCAATTCGAACACTTAATTTAGGTAGAAAACTTAATGAATTGTATTTGCTTGACATAGGAATTGTTATTTTTTTTTAACGAATAAAATTTACGTTTTCTAACATTCAATCGTCATTTACTCGAAAACTTTCCTATGTAAGATGGCAACATTTTAATACTGTCGGATCGACAATGAAACGATCTTTCGGAATCAAGAAAAAAAATAGGGGGTTGCTATTTAAAAGAAATGTCGATGACGTCATTACTCGAAAACAAATGACGGTTGAAAATCGCCTTTTATGCTAAAATATGTATTTTTTAAATTAAAAATCGACCTATTCGAGGATTTTTCCCAAAAAAAATTTGTTTCGTTTTTACTTAATTTATTCCATACTTTAGGCGCGTACTGTATATTCAATTTTTATACAATGGAAATGATTGTAGCACTCTTAAATAAGTTGCAGTATTTCATTTTAGAGAAAATAATAATAATAATTGTTGATCTCTTCATTTAAAATTTTTTATCATTTGTTGTTTAACAATTTTCGAGAGACATTGTAAAACCCTAGCAATTTTTCAATCAACGCTCAATCTCCTGCCTCAAAATGAGGGTGCACGTCTAAAAATAACGGGAAGCCTTACACGTTGTTGAGGATTTTATTCGTTTTGTTATTAGGTAATAAAGCGGATTGCGGGAACGAAAGGGCCGTGAGGCGGGAGGATGGGGAGCGCCTGGCGAGGGAGTACAACGTGGCCTTCATGGAAACTTCGGCGAAGAGCGGCCAAAACGTGGAACTCGCCTTCGTGGCTGTGGCAAGGTAAGAAACAGTAGGACAGCGTGAAGCAAATTTGATTACCGTTTCAGGATTATAATGGGGTGATTAAAGGGGGTGAAACAACGGGTAACTTCGGAATCGGAAACTTCGTGTAGGGTGTAATAGAATGTTAAGAATGAAGGAATTTGTTCTTCGCAGTATTTTAGCGGGATGTAACAACAATACAGGGTCGGAAAGTCCCCATGGTTCATCGGCCGTTACGTGAGAGCGATAAAGTGTCATAGAAATCCGTGCGATAGAGAAAGATGGCTATAATGGAGGCATCTAATAGTCACCGCCCATTTCGCCCTTCCACAAATAAGAAGTGGATCTTATTTGTGGAAGGGCGAAATGGGCGGTGACTATTAGATGCCTCCATTATAGCCATCTTTCTCTATCGCACGGATTTCTATGACACTTTATCGCTCTCACGTAACGGCCGATGAACCATGGGGACTTTCCGACCCTGTATAGTGGNAGCATTTACACCAAACTTTTCCACATAGATGGGTAGGAAGGGCCGGACCTGTTTTATGGCCTCCAAGATCGCCTGATCTGAACCCTCTAGATTTCTTTGTTTGGGGATATTTGAAGACATTAGTGTATGGTACTCCTGTAAATAGCCTGGAAGAGCTGCAGCTACGGATTAATCAAAAGTGTCAAGAAATCCAAACCAAGGAGGGTGTTTTCGAAAGAGTTCGAATATCGTTGAGACGAAGATGTCGTGCCTGCTTGGAAATGGACGGAGGGCACTTTGAACATCTTCTGTAACTTTGTTTTTTGTTTGTTAAAAGCTTCCTTTGTCGGTTTATTCCTAATAAAATAAAATGTTTGAAAAACGAATAGTGGTCCATATCTCCGCAACCCTTACTTTGCGGACCCGTGTTTATTAAGACTTTTCTGCTTATTTTGGTTCATATTATTACCACCTGAAATATTTTACACTCTTTTTTTAACACCCTGTATAGTGCCGATGTGTGCTTTTACCCTAAGGGAGGATGCCACCCCTTCTGGAGGGTGGGAATTTTTTTATTAAAATAACCTCACGATTCGATAGAGGGACGAATTCAAAGCAAAAAATGTTCTATAAGAATTTTTTGTGCAGTCAATACTTTTTGAGTTATTTGCACCTAAACATGTTCGTTTTTAGCCCAAAAAATACACGTTTTTGAGCCATTTTTCGCGAATATCTCAAAAACTACAAGTTTTATAAAAAAAATTATCATAAGAAAAATTAAGGTAATTATTAAGAGATTGCTTTTTTTAATTTTTGTAGGTGGCATAGAACCCGAGTTATGACTCCCAGAAGTTGAAGTCAATTTAGAAGAGAGCTATAACCGAAACGTTCAACGTCCTCTAGCGGAAAAATTAAAGGTTTTTCGAGGAAAACTTATATAACACCTATTAAAGTTCTTGAAAAGACCTTTAAACTGAGTGCGTGGTAAATGTCGTTAGCATGAAAACTCATGAAGTTACAATCAAAATAAAATAATTGTCTTGATTTTTCAGAAAAAAAAATCGGTATTAAAATAATGACTTGACGGAAAAAAATTAAACGTATTCCTTCTGCAATTTACTTTATCTATGTAACAGTAGATTCTGGAAAGTTGAACGATTTTAGAAGCCTAAATTTTAAAAAATATATTATTAACTTTTGAATAAAATTTTTCAATTTTTTAAAAAATCGCCTTTTTTCAAAATAATTCAAAAACTAATAAAGTTTTTTTTTTCGTACTGAACAATTTGCTTCTTTTTAATTTTTGTAGGACACAATTTGACTGAGTTATGACCGTTAGAAGCTCAAAACTAAGCTCCAAGACTGCCTTTCCTGAGCCCTTTTAGCTTACAAATTTAAAAAACGAATGGCTCCAAAAAACTACAAATCACAGAACTTAAAGTGCTTTAAATTATCTACAAAATGGTTTTTTGAGAAAAATAACTTTAAATTGGGAGCTTTTACTTTATTTTCGCCTTCACTGACTGGACTAATATGGTGGGAAATTAGAACACTATTAAAGTCCAATTGTAAAACTAACAAAAAGTCAAGTAACAACTAAAAGTAAACTGTGTGGTCTTAAAATCCATCACCAAAAAAGTTATAAGAAAATATTTTCAGAATTCGCGACCGCTGGGCACAGGGTTGGTGCGATCGGAATGATGTTGGTGGGCGTCTCTAAGTGATCCTTTCATAATTCTATTACAAATTCTTTGGATCAAAATAAACTTACCTTAGTATAATTTTGCTAAAATTTCGTAGCTGGANCCTAAATTTTAAAAAATATATCATTTACTCTTGAATAAAATTTTTAAATTTTTTAAAAAATCGCCTTTTTTCAAAATATTTCAAAAACTAATAAAGTTATAAAAAAATGATAGAATAAGAAATTGTAGGCTTTTCTTACTGAACAATTTGCTTTTTTAAATTTTGGTAGGACAAAATTTGATTGAGTTATAACCGTTAGAAGCTCAAAACTAAGCTCCAAGACTGCCGTTCCTGAGCCCTTTTAGCTTACAAATTTAAAAAACGAAGGGCTCAAAAAAACTGCAAATCACAGAACTTACAGTGCTTTAAATTCTCTACAAAATGGTTTTTTGAGTAAATTTATAACTTCAGTGACTGGACTAATATGGTGGGAAATTAGAACACTATTAAAGTCTAATTGTAAAACTAACAAAAAGTCAAGTAACAACTAATAGTAAACAGTGTGGTCTTAAAATCCATCACCAAAAAAGTTATAAGAAAATATTTTCAGAATTCGCGACCACTGGGCACAGGGTTGGTGCGATGGGAATGATGTTGGTGGGCGTCTCTAAGTGATCCTTTCATAATTCTATTACAAATTCTTTGGATCAAAATAAACTTATCTTAGTATAATTTTGCTAAAATTTCGTACCTGGACTTAGTTTTATGGGACAAAAAGTCGTATACAGGCTGTTACAAATTCGCTTCTCACTACAGGGATCTCGGAAACTGTAAGAGGTAAGAAGAACCTTAAATGGGGACAAAGTTGTGTAATCAGGGGACCAACATTATGCCTCTAAAAAATCAAGGCTAACATGATTAGTTTTCGAAATATTTGAAAAAACCGAAATTTTGGAAATCCGTTTTTGTTTCATTTCAGCCTTGTTTAAGGTGATATTAAAAAAAAGAACACTTTCTCATGGCCACTTTTTGCCCTCTATCGAATGGCATAATCAATGTTTGTATACAACGTTTCCTCTCTCCAGGACCATCATCAACTTCATTTTTTTAAATACGACCCTAGAAATTTTATTACATTTTTTGCAAGCCTTCATGACCCCCAGTACTGTACTGTCTCAGTCCGAACCAGCTTCAGACGTTTTGTCTCGAAAAATTCATCTTCAGTGTATTCGTTCCAAATTTGGACTACTTTGTTTATTGAATTATCGTATCGTTAGACCCTGTGAAATCCATCTAGTTATTTAAACTATTACCACCACGCGTTATAATAAAACGTTTATTATTATTAACTATTACCATCACTTGGTCATACATAACTCAATAAGTTGTTGCGCCAAAATTAAAACATTATTACAATTTTAATTTTATTATGACAAATTAATTCTTAAACATGCATATGAACAACCAAAACGCCCACTAAATATTCTTTAAAAAATTTCAGTAAATGTTCAAAAACATTTTCGTTTTGGCAAAGTTAAAAATGAAGATCAGCGTAATATTATCGGAATTTATTATATCTGTAACTGCAATTGTGAAAGAGCATGTCAGATGTATTTGTATGAATATCCTGAAAAAAATAGATCGAAATTTGTTTGAATTTTGAGCACTCGAGAAGCCTAGAAATAACTGTGGAAACGGAAATACAACTCTAATAATGATATTATTTTATTGCGTGGTGGTAATAATTTAAATAACTAGATGTATTTCACAGGGTCTAACGACACTTACAGTGTACGATAATTCAATAAACAAAGAAATTTAAATAAAAAATTTAGATAAATTTGGAACGAATACACTGAAGATGAATTTTTCGGGACAAAACGTCTGAATCTGGTTCGGGCTGAGGAGTACAGTATTGGGAATCATGAAGGCTTGCAAAAAATGTAACAAAATATCCAGGGTCGTATTTAAAAAAATTAAGTTGACGATGATCCTGGAGAGACGAAACGTTACATATAAAAATTGATTATGCCATTCGATAGAGGGCAAAAAGTGGTCATGAGAAAGTGTTCTTCTTTTTTCAATATCACCTCAAATAAGGCTGAAATTAAACAAGAACGGCTTTCCGAAATTTCGTTTTCATTTTCAGATATTTCGAAAACTACTGATGATAGCCTTGATTTTTTAGAGGCATAATGTTGGTTCCCTGATTACGTAACTTTGCCCCCATTTAAGGTACTTCGTAGCTCTTACCGTTTCCGAGATCCCTGTAGTGAGAAGCGAATTTTTAACAGACTGTAATATGGTAGTTTCCATATGTATTCAACGAACAAAAAAAATCGACCTCCTCGATTTTCGATCGATCGATCGATCGTTCAATCGAAACTTTGGGATGTAAATCTACTTTGATTTTTTTTGTTTTTCCAAAAAAAATTTTTAGAGCTCTGTGGCGCCATGTCAAAGTTTACATAAATGAAAATGCATATTTTTTTCAAGTGACCGTCATTTTAACCCAAATTATCTTATCGAAACGTTTTTTTTTTTAATATGCAGGATTTTATCAGCTTTTAACTGTATTTTTTTTTCAGCATTCAAATTGCTTTAAAACTTTCTGAAATAAATGAGAGAAACTTCCCGAACGGAGCAAGTTGGCATATTGCCGCTTGGCTAAGAGATCGCTTATTTGGCCTTGAAAAACATATCCAAATTTGGTGAAAATAAATGGTGGGATTTTTGAGAAAATCAATTTTGGAAAAAAATGACTTCTTTCCGTTTTTCTCATTAATCTCACAAAGTTATAAAGCAATTTGAATACTGAAAAAAACAGGAAAAAGCTGATAAAATCATACACATTTTGGGA